ACACCGAGCTGGGGATTAAACTGACATCTCTCACAGTGAAGCGATTAAGAAGCCAGCCATCCAGCCCGCTTGGCTATCCGATCGACGAAAGGTATTTAATGTTAAAAAGACTGCCCTTTATCGAATGTTAATTTGGTTTTACCGATGTTTTTAAAAATAAAATTAATATCTTGAGTTAAATGTGAGAGAGCACAAAATGTCCACCCTTGGTAAAACTTACTAAGGTGTCTATATAATTTATTTATGGCACGATTTTGTTTAGAATTGCTTCCCCTTCCAAAGGTCTTGCTTCTTTGTTTTGTAGGAATACCTAAGAGTTGTTAGTGCTTGTTTACATGTTGTGCTAGAAAGTAGTAAACGCAATTAATTCATAATGAGCAAGTATTTGTTAGAGCAGGAGTTGGCATTAGAAATAGAAAACATATAGAATAGTTCTAGTGATTACGACATTGAATATGACGATAGTGATTTCGATATAAACGAAGCAAAACATTGCATTATACCAGATACCCACAACAAAGATTTTGAAATTGATGATTCTCAGAATGACAACGATGATGTAACTCCAGTGCATCAGTATGTGAGTAAAATAGGTAGAGCTTACTTGACTTACCATCCAAGAATTAGTAGACGATCGAAGCAGAACGTCTTTTGTGAACGAGAAGGTTTTCGTAAGGAAGGTATCGTTATGTCTATTACAGAGTTACTTTTAAAATTTCTTAACAGTGACATAATTGACGTAATTATCCGCCACACTAATGAAAAGGCTGAAAGGAAGAATGTGAAGAAAATCGACAAATCTGAATTAGTAGTATTTACTGGTATTTTAAGTTTGATGGGTGTAATGCGTGAACTGCCATAATTTATGATCAAACGCATTTGGCAGGGCTTTTTAAGTTGGAATCGTGAGCAGAAACAGATTTGTAGATTTGTTAAAAGTTTGGAGATTTAATTATAAAGAAACAAGAAAAGAATGGCAAAAGCAATATTTTGCACCACTCAGAAATATCTTTGAATTATTAAACAATATATTCCTAAGATACTTTACTCCAAGAATGAATGTCGTATTGAAGCTGTTTAAAAGGAGACGTGTTTTTAAAGTTTTCATGAAAGATGCCAGAAAGTAAGGGATTCTCAGTCTGAGGTTAGCAGATTGTAAATCCAATTACGTTTTGAAAATGAAGGTTTATTCTGTAAAGGTAGAAAATACGACACCAGTCTCTAAAAAACCAGAAGATATTGTAAAGCGTCTAGTTGAACTAGTAAAGAACACAGCCTGCAACGTTACTACAGATCGTTATTACACTTCTATAGAGTTAGCAGCAGTTACCCTTCTCTCCTATGTGCCTAGGATAAAGCACACAAAAATACTAATTTTCTTATTTACATAAATTTACACAATGATGATGACGTGGTCGGTAATAATGGCAAGAATTATCTGATATAAATCTATCCTATATTGTGACCAAAGGCCGAGTCGTCACAATAGACCAAATGGCGAGGAAATATAGTTCCAAGAGATCTATACGAAGTTGGCCATTGCCAACTTTCTTTACATTATTAGACATTGTTTCCTTGAATACATTTTTGGCACCGAACCTATTTAAGGCATCGAACTAATTAAGGCTCTTGTTTAACGAAGGGCTGAAAATCTGAAGGGGTTGAATATTTACACTATATTGCAATGGAGAGCATCTTACGGTTAAAGGCGTAAATAGAGCTAAAATCGTAGTAGTATTTCATTTGCGTCTAATAAACTATTGCTAAAAATGAAAATGTAAAAAAACTATTAAAGACAACCATATTGTGTTTGAAGTGCAATATATATTTGTGTGGCAAACACAGTGGAAAAATCCATGTCTGTTTTAGTTGCTGAGATTCTGCAGTTGAATATTGGAAGTCAGATTAGCCTTCTTATTACGAGCTGTTTTTTTTTTAATATTTTATTAGTATTGTTTTGTTGTCTCGAAAAAACTTGTAACTCTTAAAGAATACGTCCCCAGGTGGCGAATATGGAAATACTCGACCCGGTTAACCGGTAGGCAGGAGGGAATTAAAATACTTCCTGTGTACCAACAGGTAATTCCCTAATGATTGCCGGTAGAAGCAATCCCCCATTTGCTGATTAACGGATTCGGGCGGACGTGTTGGTAGGTAGTAGGACACTCTTTTGTCCTGGGGCTGAGAAACCGGCCCCAAAGGCGGAAGAATAAGTAGTTTGGTCAACGGCATAAAAAGAAAGAAGGCAACTAGAAACCACTATATTAAAGATCCCTATGGATATCTCCAGTTTAATCATAATGGCTGTACAACACAACACAAACTCGCTTACTGATCATGGACATTGGAGACCAAAATTCGACAAGAGAGATGATTCTCATGACCACAGGGCCTCCCGGGTCGTTAGTATGCAAAATTCCTGTGAATTGGGAATTTCTTTCCAATAAAACACCTATAAGAAAAATCCACACATATTGTCTGAAGAGAATTTCCACTTGGAACGTTAGGGCTTGGCTCAATCAGAAAAAATCCAATGCGAAATCAAGGTTTCCATGCGAAACGCATGAAAATAGCAATAATGAACACAAGCGAGGTGAGGCGCCTGATTCAAGTTATTGTGACATAGACGAATACAGTGTTTACTATTCAGGATCATATTGGTCCTTATGGATCAGGAGAGAGAAATCAACGTCGAGAAATAATGAGTATCTTTGCAGCGAAACATAACTTAATCGTGCTAAACACATTTTACAAGCTACGACCTAGACGTCTGTATACGTGGAAATCACCTAGAGACAACGAAGAAGACGTTATTATAAAAGACGAAATAGACTATACAATTGTTAAAAAAAGATATCGAAATAGTGTCAACATTGTTAGAATCTACGCAGGCGCTGATATTCAATATAACCACAATCTTTTAGTGGGCGTATATAAAACCAAGTTAAAAAACACCCTTGTAAAATGGAATGGAAAACTGTAAAAAACATGACATGAGAAAACTGAAATGTAGTGAAGTGAAAGAAATAGGCAGCAAAACAATAAATAGAAAATTCAAAAAAAGCATTAATACAACGGAAAGCACAGAAGAGAAGACACAATCTCTTAATAAAACGATAGTTGACATTAAAAACAATTTTATGAGGAAAGAAGAAGGTAAGAATAAGACATTGATGACGACAGAGATTCTGCAGCTGATGGAAGAAAAAAGGAAAAACCAGAACAACAACTTAATGTATAAAACATTACAAGGAGATATAAGGAGAAAGATCAGAGAAGCCAAACAGAAAGAAATGCCAAGAAATCGAAAGTCTACAGTAATATGGTAATCGAAAGTAAATACGGCGACTTCAACGTGCAATAAAAGGTAAGAGAAATTACAGGAAAATGAAAAACAGAAGAATAAGTAAACTTGTTAATGGCAATGGAGAGGTAATCATAGACAAATAGAGTATTGATAATACCTGGAAAATTACATACGAAATTTATTGTTTGATGAGAGGGAGAACCAGTCCGCAATACCTACGGAAACATGACCACCTATACTAGAGGCAGAAATAAGAGCACCCATAATATCACTAAAGGAAGGTAGAGGTTAAATCTTCAATATTATCTACACTACAGACAATATTTCAAAAGATTGGCTAGTGCCAGAATTTATTACGTTACTAAAGAAACAGGGAGCGAAAAAATGTGAAGAATATAGGCTAATAAGTCTTATTGGCCATACACTAAAACTTTGTCTTAAATCACAGAATATACAAGCTATGTGAAGAGAGAATACAAGACACACTGTTTAGATTCATGAAAGGCGTAGGTGTGAGAGATGCACTGTTTAGTCTACATGTAATATTCTAAAGATGCAGAGATATAACTTGCGATATCTACACCTGCTTTGTGGACGACCAAAAAGCATTTGACACAGTTCAACACCGAAAAATGATGGATATTGACTCCATGAGCTTTCTCCATTCTTGCTGTTTCTCCATCAATATGTGGGGCGTTGGCATATATAATATTCCCGTTGGTATCTCCTCTATTCAGTTGGACACTCATTACTTTATCACTTCTTCTGGTTAGCCTTACTAGGTGTTTGTTTTAACTCTTATTCAAAATAATATTCACTTCACTTCTACGATCACTGTCCCAGATCTCTTGATTTTTACCTTTTTACCTATTAAGGAGTTTCTTGCACACATGTACTTTAAAACGAGTTTCTTGCACATCCCGCCCTAACCCTACTGCATGTAAAATAATCTAAAATTATTACTTCCACAATCATTTTACCATCCAAAATTATTATTTTTTTTATAGTAATTAAACTTCAAGTTTAAAATTTTGTTCTTTAAAAGCTTGCCTCTGCTGTTTAAATTTTTGTTCTAAATCCCTTTAAATATTTTCTACTAAGATTACATCACTAATATTTATATTAAGCAGCAGGAAAGATTCAGTTTTCATGTTATGTTATCCAAAACTGATGAGAATAAATGAGGACTTGACACTGAGCCCTGATGTAATCCTACTTACACATAAAATAAATCGGTATCTTCCACACCTGTACTAATACTAGATATTGCTTGGTATTTTCTTAGAAATAGGAATCTCATATGGAATTCCAAACAGATGCTCAGTTTGTTTCTTGAACGTTTTGCTCAGGAGACTCATAACTAATATCCTGCATGATCTGGCCAACACAGCAACCTATGCAATCTAAGTGCAGTATTACCCCGCACCAGTTTATATTTTTTTATAGGCTAGAATTCTCATTGTAATCATTCCCCTGTAAGCTAATATATTATTTAGCGGCCAATAGGAGGCACATATCTAACAAATTGCTGATTGCTTAAAGGTGCTACGTTTTGCACATCAAGTAATTAGTGTGTTAAAATTGATTGAAAACTAAAAACTGGTTTTGTTTAAAATTATCTATAATGCTTCTATATATTTTTTATTCAATTTAATATTAAATAAAGGTAGTATATATTTTAATTTTGTTTCAGAATAAATGTGAACTTGCTCCGATGTCAAAATGTTCCCGCTACCCCAACTGGACCCATGTTCCTGCATTGACCATTACAACGAGTGCGTGACACAGAATCCGTTCTTGGCCCAAAGACTCTTTAACCCCTATTTTCCCCAGTTTTGGCTGCCGTTTCCCATTAAGATAACCCAGCCCCGTCCAGAAAAGCCGCCGTATTCCTACATTGCCCTTATTGCAATGGCTATATCGTCGTCACCAAAGCAAAGACTCACCCTTAGTGGAATTTATAGGTAACTTTCTTCTATTTTTAAGGCTTATTGGACGACGAACATATTACGGATTTGTTTTTAATTTATTTGAAAAAAGTTTATTTAACAAAATATTACAAATTCATTATACAAATAAACTGTTATAAATTTATTATAAATTGTTTTCGTGAGATACCAAAGTCTAGGAGAAATCTGTACGATATTAAAAACCTAAAATTGAGATAAGTATAAAAATCAGGAAAAACAATTTTTACGGAATTATCAAAAAAATTAAAGAAATCAAAATGAAATAAAATATAATTATCTCTACAATAATTCAGTAAACTACCATATTCAGTAAACAAAATCGATGATTAAGCTAAAAATGGAGATTTTTAGCTTAATTGAATGAGATCAAATCAGTGGATGTAAATTTCATTAATAATAAAAAGTTATTTGTACCTAGAAAAGCCATAGTAAAGCTAATCACCCTACTAAGTGTATCTTTTAGACTCAGATATGTTGCCATCCATTGGACAACTGCAAAGGTCATAATGATACGCAAAGTAGGATAACATAACCATAAATACAGGCTAATCTCGTTACTATCGATAATCTCAAAGGTGTTTTAAAAATTTCTACTACGAATAGTGAACCCTATAATTGAACAAAAAGATCATTCTTACAAACCAATTTGGATTTCGTAAAAAATACTCCACAGTTGACCAGCTCGATCGAATAATAACTGAAATAGAGAAAGCATTGGAAGAAGACAAAATTTGTTTGGCAGTATTACTGGATATACCAAAAGCATTTGACAAATTATGTCACGACGGCCTGTTAATGAAGCTAAAGAAAATATTTCCTATGCAACTGATTGAAATATTGCAGTCATACCAACACCAGCGAACATAAAAATTGAGTACTCTGAGTTAAACCAATAAACGCAGGGGTTCCACGAGGTAGCGTTCTTGGACAAGTATTACCTTTGGTATACATCTGATGTCCCGAATAGAGAAACCATTTAACTAGCCACTGCTGATGATACAGCAGTCCTGACAATGGAAGCAACTATAGATGAATCTACTATAGATGGAGTTTAATGAACAGAAATCAGTTCATATTAAGTTTACTAACAAGAAAATCAATTATCAACTTAATCAAACAAAAATCAAGACGTCTAACTCAAATTGGAGCACATTTTTGAAGTGGCTCTAAAAGATATTGATGAAGGTATCTCAATAAATGGAGTCAAGCTCAATAACATGCGGTATGCAAATGATACAATAGTGTTTTCCAATACCATAGAAGGGCTGCAAACTTAATGAACAAAATAACGGAAACAAGTAGAAAATATGTACTGGATATAAACACCAGTAAAACCAAGCTAACGATCAACAGCAAGGAAAACATAACTGGAGCAAATCTGTATGTGAACCAAATGAGAATTGAACGGGTCTCACAATACAACTACTTGGGAACTATAATCAATGAGTCCTGGGACAATACCCAAGAGATTAAATGTCGCATCGGAAAGGCAAAGAGTGCATTCTTGACTATGAGTTCTGTGCTCAAGAGCCATGACCTCACCCTAGAAACAAAAATAAGGCTACTTAAATGTTATGTGTACTCAGTGCTTCTGTACGGAGTAGAAACGTGGACATTGAAGGCAAAAACTCTATCAAAAGTTCAGGCTTTTGAGCTATGGTCATACAGAAGGATATTGATGATACCATGGACAGACAAAGTGACCAATGAAGAAGTACTGCAGATTATTGAACACAACTGCTGATTTGGTCATCAACGTGAAGGGCCGTAAGCTGCAGTACTTAGGCCATATAATGAGAAATCAAGGCAGATACGAGCTACTTCAATGAATTTTCCAAGGTAAAATTGAAGAAATAAGGGCCCCAATGCTCAGCAAAATGCTCAGAATATCGATTAATTAGCCTAATGAGCCACACTCCTAAAATTTTCCTCAGAATACTTCACAACAGAATTAGACGCAAATGCGAAGAAGATCTTAAAGATACCCAATTTTGTTTTAGAAATGCTATGGGAACCAGGGAGGCACATGGCACAGGGAAGAACATCCTATTACAAAAATGCCGTGACCAAAGAAAAGATGTATTTGCATGTTTCGTGGACTTCGAAAAGGCATTCGATAAAGTACAGCATGTAAAATTAATGCAAATACTGAAAAATATCGGAATAGATGACAAGGATATTCGTGTTATTAAAAATTTGTACTGGAATCAAACTGCCATCGTAAAAATTGGAGATAACTACACCGATGAAATCCCCATAGAGCGAGGAGTCAGACAAGGTTGCATTTTGTTGCTAACATTGTTCAATATTTACTCGGACCAGCTATTTAAAAAGGCACTTAAGAGACAACCATATGGAATAAAAATTAACGGGGAACTACTTAATGTGATTAGATATGCAGACGATACAGTAATACTATCAGATAATATTGTAGGTCTTCAAATTCTGCTTAATCGTAGTTACGAGGTAGGAGAGGAAATGGGCATTAAAACAAACTCAAACAAAACCAAATTTTTAGTATTTATTTTTAATATTATCACTACAGCTGTTTCGGCTGATTGCCTTTCTCAAGTGATCTATTTTGGCTTGGTTTTACAAATTTATAGTCTCTAATGAAATAGGTTGAGGAGGGGAGAACTGTCTTTTTTATGTGTTTGGCAATTTTTGTTGTTATTTTGCCTGTATGCCAAACACATAAAAAAGAAAGGAATAACACCAGCTTTCCGAACAAATAACAACCTAGGCAAATATATTAAAAATAACAAAAGCCAAAATAAAAAACACTTAAATAGTGGTGTATACAAACTCCAATGTGGCGACTGCCCAAAAACTTACATCGGTCAAACTGGTAGAAACTTTGATAAACGAATAGCAGAACATAAAAGGACTTTCAAGAATAGAAAAACAGTTTCGACATACGCACTTCACCTTCTAGATCATAATCATTCTTTTAATGACAAATTTAAAATTCTTCACATTCAAAATAAAGGCCTTAAGCTATCTTTGTTAGAATCTATGGAAATCAACAAATTAAAAAACACAGATATAATTCTGAATGACCAACTTGAGACAAACAGTTCTCCCCTCCTCAACCTATTTCATTAGAGACTATAAATTTGTAAACCCAAGCCAAAATAGATCACTCGAGAAAGGCAATCAGCCGAAACAGCTGTAGTGATAATATTTAAAATAAATTTTGTGGAAGTTTGAAAACAAAGTTTTCAGTGTTTTATTGTTACATAAAATGAATTTCCATCAAGTAACGGTCGAATCCATCAAATTTTTAGTGTTTAGACATGACCCATATCCCGATGCAAAGCTTCAATTGAACGGAGTCCAAGTTGAGAAAGTTCAAAAAATGACGTATTTGGGAACTGTGATAACGGACCAACTAGATCCCGACATAAAAATAAAACGTAGAATAGCAATGATTAAAACTACTTTTATGAAAATGAAGTCATTTCTTTGCAATAACCATCTCAGTTTAGAACTAAGGCAAAGAATGGTTAAGTGTTATGTTTGGTCTGTAATTTTGTATAGTGCAGAAGTGTGGACGCTAAAAGTATCGATCATGAACAAAATTGAAGCATTAGAAATGTGGGTTCATAGACGAATGCTGAAGATACCTTGGACAGCAAGAAAAACTAATGAAGAAGTACTAAGGAGCGTCAACAAAGACAGAGAACTGCTAAAGACTGTTAAACATCGAAAAATGTCTTATCTGGGACATATAGTAAGGGAGAGTCGATATAGAATATTACAACTGATTCTTAAAGGTAAAATAGAGGGCCGTAGTTGTGTAGGAAGAAAACAAGTTTCTTGGTTAAAAAACATTCGTAAATGGACTTAGATACCAAATGCAGGACAATTATTCTATATTGCAGAAGATCGAGAAGCCTTCGCAATGGTGATCGCCAACGTCGGATAGTTCTGCTATGGCACGCGAAGAAGAAGAAGAAGGTCCCCAAGACGAAGAATATCCTGGCTTGCTCACCTGAGAGCATGGTATAGAAAGACCTCAACACAGCTTTTTCGTATAGTAACCAACAAAGTCATCATAGCCAGAACGATCGCCAATATTCGGAACGCACAGGCACCCTAAGAAGAAGAAGTATTTGTAGGTATCCACACTCTAAATTACAGTATCTTCTACAATCAATTAAATGTTTGTATCTGCTGATTTAGTCATAATCATTCATATAGTTTTCTTCAAATTTATCCCTAGTTCGTATTTATGACAGGATTTAAGGTGTTGCAATACTTTCTGTAAATTATTGATTTTTTCATTATTACTGTATCGCATGCAAAACACAAGTTATTCAAAACTTCGCCATTGATAGATATACCTTCTATTGAATCTGAGAGTGCTTCTTTAAATGTCTCTTCACTGTAGACATTAAAGTGTAGTGGTGACAGCACGTAACCCTGGCGGACTACTCTCTGTATTTTAATATTTAGTGTTCTGACTGTCAACTCTTACCTTGGCAGTTTGATTCCAATATAGATTAGAAATAATTTTCATATCACGACTCGCGACTGTTAATATTTTTGCATTTTTAATATATATATACAAGCTTTCTATGTTGACTCTTATTAAATGCCTTTTAAAATCTACAAAACATAAGTACATGTCCTGGATCATATCCATGCATTTCTGGGACAGCACACTCAAGCCGAGCAAAACATTTCTTGGGCCCAGACCATTTCTAAATCCAAATATCTCGCTAGATATGTAAATTTAATGTAGTATTTTAGTACTTGTCCTTTATTTTTATATCATTTAAAGAAAATGTTAGGTTAGGCACTAAAATTAAACAACAACAAAATGGTCAGACTCAAAAAAAATTAGGGATAATGCAGGCCATTCACGTTCCGACTTGTGGTACGACTAGTGGTCCAACTTTTGCAGTTGGATCTGAAATCGGACCGTGAGTGGGCTAGTTGGATTAGTTGGACAACTAGTGGTACGACTCGGAACATCTAGTGGGACGACT